GTAGGGGTAGAATATTGGTATCAGCATTGCTGTACTGTGGATGGTAGGGGTAGAATATCGGTATCAGCATTGCTGTACTGTGGATGGTAGGGGTAGAATATCGGTAACAGCATTGGCTGTACTGTGGATGGTAGGGGTGAATAATATCATTGCTGTACTGTGGATGGTAGGGTTAGAATGTTGGTAACAGCATTGGCTGTACTGTGGATGGTAGGGGTGGAATATTGGTAACAGCATTGGCTGTACTATGGATGCAAGGGGTGGAATATTGGTAACAGCATTGGCTGTACTATGGATGCAAGGGTTGGAATGTTGGTAACAACATTGGCTGTACTGTGGATGGTAGGGGTGGAATATTGGTAACAGCATTGGCTGTACTGTGGATGGTAGGGGTGGAATGTTGGTAACAGCATTGACTTTGGATGAGAAGGCCCATGGTTCCAAGTCCCACCATGGGACTTGGGACATTAGGGACTTCACTAACATGACAAGTTTTTCCATACTTTGACACACTTCCAAAAGCACAGTGTAATGATAGCTTTGTGGAACTGGCCCCAGTAAATATGTCTTGGACCGATAAATTCACAATCTGCCAGTTCCTGTGTCCATTCCTCTGGTCTTTTATAACGAACAGAGAGGAATATCACACTTCTGTGTAAATAACTTGTTCCATACTGTTGATTTTATCATATCATCAGCTTCTTACTGTGTATACTTTTTTTACTACGGATCGTCAAAGGTTGAGCTACTAAAATTATGTCATCTGTATGATGAATGATTAAACGATGGACAGTAAATGATCAAGTTAATTTATTTTGTAGAATTTTGAATCTTGCTACAAGCCTGTGGTGATATACAGGCATCATGTAGGGTAGGGTTGAGATCAGTCTTGTTACATTACACACTGTGACAGATAACTGTAAATCTTTGCTGGCAAAGTGTGATGATGATGATGATGATGATGATGATGATGATGATGATGATGATGATGATGCCATTTAAAATAGCTCATCTGACTGAAAATTGGGTAAGCATATGTTATGTTGTCGGCTGTTTTTCCAGCATCTGGTCAGAACATGTTCTCATAAAAATATGGACTCTGAAGCTCAAACTACTCGTTTGTATGCCCCAGTGATGACACTCCCACTTCAATAGGTTCAACAGGTGGTGGGGTAGCCTGGTGGTTAAAGAATTTGCTCGTCACGCCGAAGACCTGTTCGATTCCTAACATGGGTACATTGTGTGAAGCCCATTTCTGGTGTCCCCAGCCATGATATTGCTGGAATATTGCTGAAAGCGGCGTAAAACCACCTTCTCTCGCTCACTCAATAGGTTCAAATCATATTTAAACATGACTGTCATGGCAGCTTTACTGAAAAAGCTTCCAATTTATTATTATTAGCTTTCCCAAAATTAATGGAATACTATTTGGTACATATGTAGTTGGCAGTTGGGCACAATATGTACCATTCAATTAGCGACCATTCATAATTTATGGCTTGGGGGTGATGACGATTTTCATGGAGAAGGACGTACAATGTCAATGACCCCAAACCCACCCAGCCCCAAAAGCATGTACAAAGTAAGCGACCCTTGAACAGGTCATGTACAAAATCAATGACACACCCCTAGTTTTAAGCAGAACTTTTTAAAAATATTTCTGTGTACAAAATTGCTGAACACCTCCCCCATACATGTTTTCAAAATCGATGACCCCCAATCATCATCATCACCTCACCCCCCATCCATAAATTATGAACAGTCCCTTACAATATTATAAACGTGACCTTGATTTTACAATTGCACAAGACCACACTGCAAGCTTAAACTTCTACAGCCATTTCTTTTCAAAATGTAATATAACTTGTATATGTGTGCTTAATAATTGGCTGAACACAATATTGTAAATTTTGACAACCATACTGACATGTATTTCTGCCACTTCCGTCTAAAAAGGGATGAAATTTGGTATGTTCAGTTCTTAAATTATCTCAACATGTTGACGGGTTCATTTGACTCGTAGGGTGTCTGAACTTGAGATTGTAGGTTTCTCTCAATTCTGACATATTTTGTTCAATTGTTAGATAATAGTGTTAATATTTAATTTTATTTATTTTTCAATTGCAGTGCCGACTTGTATAATATTAGTCTCCAACATGTTACAGTGGCACCCTGTCTGGAGAATCTGATTTTGATAATTGATTTGCTATATCATGCAGGAGACTATCACGAGGGACACTCATTTCTGCAGAAAAAAATGTCATATATTTCGGACAAAGGGCATCATTCCTCTAGACCACTGTCCCCTGTTGTTACAAGCCACTAATTAGTACCTCTAGCCCCTCGCCTGGCTGTTCTGTTAACTGTACTCACTCCCCTGTAACTGGATTAACTGCTACTAAGCCGGTTAGGTGTTCGTTGTGAATCAAGCCAAGTACAGCTTTTGCAACTTTTGCAAATGCCCTGGACTAGAGTACATGTTATGTGAAAGAAATCTTGACTCATACCTGGACCTATCTGGCAATACTAAATTCATTCTGTCAAAGAATATGCTCAATTGTGACACCATTGTCTTGTAAATATGCCTTCTGTGTACATTAGAACATTGTAGTAAAATGTACATACTGAACATACGATCATTATCATAGCATACAATGTTATCTACATGGTATATTCTGTATTTGTTTTGTCATACAGAGCAGATGTAATAATGTAATCATTAAATGCTGAAGAAATATGTCAGTTTTGTTATGCTTGCAACCTAGCAACAGAATCATTCAAGGTATTTCAGGAAGTCAAAACAAGGGCTGGTCTTTAAAGTGAGTGAGATTATTTTTATGCCGCACGAACAATATTCCAGCTATATGGCGGCGGTCTGTAAATACTTGAGTCTGAACTAGACAATCCAGTGATCAACAGCATGAGCATCGATATACACAATTTGGATACGTTGAGCGAGCCTGACCACCCGATCCCGTTAGTCGCCTCTTAGGACAAGCATGGGTTGCTGAAGATAAATTCTTACCCAGATCTTCATGGGTTGGTCTTTAAAGCATATGCAGTGAAGAGTATTTTGAACTATATGATAATGTCAGTGGATAAGACTGACCAGTAATTGATATCAATATGCCAATATGGATGCTGTAGCAGCCATGTTTAAAATGTAACTCCTGTGAAGAGATTTTGGAGGTACAGTCAGGCCGCGTTAATCCGAACACTTCTGTTTTTCATCAAAAACGTTCGGATAGTGAAACATACGGACTACTGAGTCAGTAAGATCACTTGTCGACCACGTGCAGAGATGACAACCCTGAATCAAATGAAAGCGGAGTCATGTCTTGCTAAAAGCAATTCCCAAGCCCTGAAGGTGCGAGTTGGGGATGAGCATGAGAAGGGGCTCGGGCCCCTTTTGACGGTGGGGGTCTGTGGGGCCTTCCCTATGAAAATCTTTAGATTTAGCCTGGACCTATGCAACTTCTGGGCATACTTAACCAGATAATTCTTAACTCAAACGAACATATTTACTAAAATTCTTTCAAACATTCTAAATTTATAAACATATTTGTATTTTCTAAAAAATCGGAGTTTTTTATAGACAAATTGGAGTGTGGATTTTGTATTTGAAAATCGGAGTGGTTGGCATCTCTGCAGGTGATCGCATCTGCCTGTCAAAAGATCTCAGCCAATCTCAGAACATGTCTGATGTCATCCACGGTTGTTGAAGCGATAGCGAACATACATTTCTGGGTTAAAGTCTCTTCCAAAACATCTAGGACATCTGGATTTGGCGATGACAAACGGCTAATTTTGATGGTGCCAGTTGCGTTTGCACAAGTGAGACCTATTAATTGATTAAAATCACAAACTAATGACATGTTCAACTCAGAAGTGTCCCTCACTTATCAATTACCATTGAAGTTTACCGATGAAGATCAGCGCTAATCAATGGTGCTCACGAGGTAAGGGGATTATCTGAACCTCTTTGATGTACCGCCGGATTAATGAAGCGAAACCAAGGGAAATTAGCTAATCCGTTACCGCTAATTAATGTCCAGATCCGGAGAGTGAAGCACTGGATTAATGAATCAACAGTTAATGAGCTTACATAGTAAACAAAATTGATTACAGCTAGCTACCATTTTGATATCACGGGAATCGGATTATCGGGGTCCGGACTAACGCAGCCTGACTGTACCAGAGGAACAGGATGGAATGAAAAGAAAGTCTTTGCAATGATGCCATACAAGTTTATTTTATTTTCAGGAAACATTATATATAAACAATGATGCCATAATAAATACACAAAACAGGTGAACAAAGTGCAACTAGTAATGTATGTGCTCAAGAATGTTACAGCTCATACACAGCATGTGAAATTAAATGGCCAAAAAGCGTTAACCTTGTGGTTTAAGTATGAAAAGGACAAAAACTGGATATTGATGAACATAAGAGCCATGATTAACATGCTTGTTCTAAAAAAATAACAAAAAGAAAAATGACAACAATGAAAATCAAAAACAAACACTGATGTAACACCTGTAAATACCTACCTTGCATGCATGAAACAACACTTCACTAGTATAACTGATGCTTAAAAATCATGACAGGACCCTGTCACACCTTGTAATATTATCACAGGTGGATTGAGAAACAAATGCATTCTAATGGAAAAATGGACTGGCCTAAAATATCTGTAGCAATGAATCATTGATTTGTAGAATCAAACTACACCTGGAAAAGTTTCGCATCATCTCCTTTACATATTCTAAACTTTCATGTCATTTTGCAAATATCAACATATGACACTGACCATCTTATAATTGTCCTTCATAAGACCAATTCCTTCTTTGCAGATGGTGGAAGATCACAGTGTTAGTCCAGATGGTTAAACATCATGTTCATCTAGATGGTACAAGAACACTATGTAGCTTTAGGGGGTACAAGAACATGATGTTCCTCTAGATGGTGCAAGAACATGTTCATCCAGATGGTAAAATTAACATGTTCCTTCACATGGTACAAGAACATGTTCCTTCAGATGGTACAAGAACATGTTCCTTCAGATGGTACAAGAACATGTTCCCCAGATGGTACAAGAACATGTTCCTCCAGATGGTACAAGAACATGTTCCTCCAGATGGTACAAGAACATGTTCCCCCAGATTGTACAAGAACATGTTCCTTCAGATGGTACAAGAACATGTTCCTCCAGATTGTACAAGAACATGTTCCTCCAGATGGTGCAAGAACATGTTCCTTCAGATGGTACAAGAACATGTTCCTCCAGATTGTACAGATGTTCCTTGTACAAGAACATGTTCCTCCAGATTGTACAAGAACATGTTCCTTCAGATATGGTACAAGAACATGTTCCCCCAGATTGTACAAGAACATGTTCCCCCAGATTGTACAAGAACATGTTACAAGAACCCCAGATGGTACAAGAACATGTTCCTCCAATGTTCCCCAGGTACAAGAACATGTTCCTTCAGATGGTACAAGAACATGTTCCTCCAGATGTTACAAGAACATGTTCCTTCCAGAACATGTTCCCCAGATTGTACAAGAACATGTTCCTTCAGATGGTACAAGAACATGTTCCTCCAGATGGTACAAGAACATGTTCCTCCAGATGGTACAAGAACATGTTCCTCCAGATGGTACAAGAACATGTTCCTCCAGATGGTACAAGAACATGTTCCCCCAGATGGTACAAGAACATGTTCCCCCAGATTGTACAAGAACATGTTCCTTCAGATGGTACAAGAACATGTTCCCCCAGATTGTACAAGAACATGTTCCTTGAGATGGTACAAGAACATGTTCCTCCAGATGGTACAAGAACATGTTAGCCCAGATGGTAAAAGAACATGTTCCTTCAAATGGTACAAGAACATGATGTTCCTCTAGATGGTACAAGAACGCTATGTAGCTCTACAGGGAACAAGAACATGATGTTCCTCCAAATGGTGCAAGTACATGCTGTTCCTGCAGATGGTACAAGAACACTATGTTCCTCCAGATGGTACAAGAACACTATGTTCCCCCAGATGGTATAAGAACACCATGTTCTTCCAGAAAGTATAAGAAGGTTGTGTTGAGTATACACAATTGAAAAGTAGTAAAAAATTATTGTCATAGATCAGTTAAAAAACATGTTTTTGATAATTGTTTCCATATTTCAATACAAGTATTTCACAGTGTAAATAAACAAAAGTGTTTTGTCATCAAAATAAACAAATGATTCAATTTAAGAAAAATGATAACTTTACATAGAAACAAAAAGAATACAGTGCTCACTCACCTTTCTAGGTGAAATGAAAACTGTATCGCTGATACCATTTTTTATTGGGGGACTGTGTCCCTATGTCTGGTGCAAATCCCCCAATCAAGAGTTTATGGCTAGTGCCTTGTGAAACTGACAGTCTCTTTGTAATTAAGGTATCATTAACCACATGACTGATGAGCATCGTAAATTTTGTAGCTGTCAAATTGGGCATTGAAATTACTTTAGTCAAACTTGGATAAACAATCCTCTGCCTTTCATCCTAAAAAAGCTATCATGTCAATATTTTGTTCTGGCTGGTTCAGAGATGGATCTTCATTTTAAGACTTGGATACCTTTCCAAAGTTTATTTTTAAAATTGTATTAAACATACAAATTAGAATGTTAAAACGAGGCCATTAGTTGCTGTAGAAGAGTTTAAGAAAATAACACAAAAGTATTTACCAGCTATATAGTGCCACTGCATATTTGTAACGACTCCAAATGCAAGAAGAAAAACAATACAAGACAAATGTTTTCAATCATTATTCTAACTAATTAGATAGTAAATACCCTGGCCCTATTTCTTACAATTTCTTTAAGTCTAAATAAAAAAACTACAAAGCTGTAAACCAGTTACTAGTATTCAATCAAATTCAACTCACAAAAGGGAGACATTATACTGGAAGTTGCTGTTAAGAGCTGGAGATGGTGACATTACTTTCAAACGAAGCTGTAAGTGTACAAGTCAAGGGTAACAGAATGGAAATATTTTACACTGGAATATATAGAATGTCACATATGGTCAACCCCCAAAATAAATTTCTGTATTGTTTTTCTGCAACAGAACAATCTGAGGACCTACGTTTCTTGTTTCTTTCTGTAAGTAGTATTTATTTGGTGAATATTTAATTGCCAATCCCATCATGTTGTCATCTTTAGTCCTTACATAATGCACGTTTGTACAGGCAATTACTTATTGGTGCATCTAGATATATGGAAAGTGTGAAAAATAATCATAGTTAATGAATAACATGAACTGAAATGTGTGCGTGCCTAGTATAAAACAGAATGAAAATGAACCTTTCAAAACAACACAATTCCATGTGAAATAAAGCCCAGCTGGTATGGACCGAGTTCTATATATAACCCTTAATTCCAACATATGATGGCACAAACATTTCTAACCAGAATCACAGACAATGAGACTGATGAAAGACAACAGACATCTGTACAATTAAGTATGGTGAAATATCTCATGTAGAAAACTGTACAAATTAAATACAAATTCACTGGATATCCACAATTTAGAGAATACTATACAAGCATTAGAATTCTTGATTCCAGTTTTTTTTAACAACTTAACGTTTTGACCATCCCTTATCCGCCTCATTTCACCAACAAACCCTCAATACGATTTTCAGGACAGCTAACCAAGATTTGAAGGGGAGATAATTATATCCAAGAAGTTACCTCCCCTTGGTCAGTGGCCAGTTTACGTCATGGATACCCACAAAACCTATGGTATTTAGTATACCACCAGCTGTTATTGGTAGCCTATGGTAATCAATCTATGCTTGCTGTTAATACAGGAGGCAAACACTACCACTCTTCACATGACAAACGTGTATAGTCCTTATGTTAGATCATCCAAGATGGCAGCCGCAAGTAACAGTTGATGGATAAAAATTGCAAATTATGTTTAATTTTTTTTTTTCAAACATGTAAGATGCTCTGATCACCAACTAGTGTGACTTGTGACCCAGACATGTATATATTTGTGATTTCTCCTTCAGTATATGCTTCCTGATGTTACGTGTGAGTGAGTTTAAATTTAAAGTCACACCCAATGTTATGGGATCATTTCATATGTCCAATCCTTACATGAATACTGGGCTGTAATAATAACTTGGAGGAAATGTTTGGTTAACAACTGCTTGTATTTTGATAACAATTAAATGGATAGCAAGATAATATGAGTTTAAATTTAATAATCAGTATGATAGAGAAATTTGAAAATGTTGACTGTTTCCTTCATTTTGTGCAGGATGATAACTTTACAAGAATAATAAACTCTAAGGTTTGTTGATCTTTCTTCTCATGTGATGCTGCTGTAATACATCATTTAGTAACAGGACCATATAAAACAGAGACTCTCCTTAAAACTATACCACAAACTCATCAACAATAGCATATGTTCACTTGGCTTCAAAATGAAACAATATTTCATTTGAATTCAATATCAGAAGTTCAGAGATTCCTTAAACAAACATGTTCCTGGCGATACAAAAGCTAACAAATTGGGTTGTAACAATATATTTCAAGGTCGTGCACACAACAATGTATGTACAGTGAAAAAGATGGAGTCAAATTTTACAACATAAAATTCAACTTCATGCAACGACACAGAAATTGTACAAGGTCTTATCTGCCCCTACAGTATAGACATATACAGTTGTCCACTGACTGACACACTCTATCATGGTGTAATACTTATCCTTAAGTGATGTTTAATAACAAAATGTCCTGCTATTGTCACTTGTTCATGGGTTTGTAAACAGTCTGTGATAGATAAGCCTCTTTTGCAGTGTATTTGCAAAACCAACCAATCATCCTGGTTCCTGCAAGCGTGATACCAAGGAATGTATTGCCCAGTCAGCGTTAGTGGTGGTCCGATTAATTGAAATAATCGAAGATTGGTCGCAGTGACCAAACGACCAAGCAATCGATCACATTTTCTCATAATGGAACATAAACGATTTTGGAACAACTGTTTTAGTCTTTGAAATACTTGACAATGGAACATATCTTAGAAGTTATCAGGGCTTGAAAACATGTTAATTTCTTAGAAAACTCACTCCACTAACTGAAAAGTCATGACTAAATATTTCTCTAAGACTCCAGGAAGTTTATGTTCATGATATATTAGTCATCACTTTAATGTAGCAACATGTTATACTTTTCTGCAGTAACAACCTGGATAGGAAAATCTGAAAAATGACGCTAACCAATATTTTTTGATGATTGTTCGTTGGTAATGAAGCAATCATCAATTGTGAGATTTCAACCAATTCCCAACACTAGTCAGCGTTCAGATTACATACGTAATAGAGCCTAAACATGTTGTGTTCAAGTTGATGGGACATAAGTAAATACTTTGTGTTATTTGAGGATCTATATAGCCACAAATGATGACTAACAAAGGAATATTCCTTTGAGACGACCGTCTACACATCAGAGTTCGAGACAATTGTGTTGGACTATATTTCTCCAGGAGCTTGTGTCAGAGCCTTATAGCCTCTTTCTACACACTACTTCAATATCAGGCATGAATGGTAGGATTTGCATTCAGTTTATGCACAGAAGACTTACTTTACACTTGGAATTACTTCATCCGACCTGATACATACCACTATTACACTGCCATTAGCCTGTATGTTTCAGGTCATTTAGGAACATGGTGTGTACAAACACATGAAACCTCGAAAATACAAACAATTTCCATGGAAGATTTTAAAGTGATTCTTGTTTCTCATTTTCTTAAAAAATGCAAATTGTTAATAACTGATGATGTGTGACTGAACATTTCCAAAATTCCTCTTTTTCACTTACCTGAACTGAAATATTATTTTACAGTTTCTAAAAGGCATAAGTTAGTATTTATATTGTACTGATATTGATTTTTCAAAATAATTCCAGATTTTCCTCCTCAAAACATTCCTCTCTATTGTCTTAGTTTTCCTATCAATCATTCCCTTTTGTTGTCATGACATAAACAGGTTATCTGAGGACTTGGTATAGTACGAAATCCTGTAACAATTAATGGACACTTCAGTGAGTCATTGCAGTCCTAATACACAATGGATCATGATTCTGTAAGTTCTAACTCCGAAGTGCCTCCAGTCTTGCTTTCATTTCATCCATTTCCTCTTCGTCCTCCTCATCATCATGTGATGCAGATGGTGTCACGCCTGTTGCCCCCTCCAACTCTCCTGTTGGCAGCGAGTCGTTGACTGCTGCTGGTGCCTTCCCGATCACACCTAGGAAAGAATAGGGTGGTGAGTTAATGGTGAGTTACACATGGTCAGTTGAAGATGTGGTGAAGATGCCTTAAGCAGGAAGGTGAGCTGAAAAAATCAGTCAATGCCGATACAACCCTTGGTCTCAGAGTCCATACACAGTATCCATTGTGGAGGCCTCATCTCCATGTATCCATCAATAAGGTTAGTGAGCTGAAAACCTGGGCCTAGGTTTTCGAAGCTCTCTTATCGCTAAGATAGTCGTAAGTGCCATACATTAACATTAACTTAAAACTGTCTTAGTGCTAAGAGAGCCTCGAAAATCTAGGCCCTGCTCTTTCCAGCATCACAAAGATCTTTGTACAACTTGTCTCATAACTATAAAATGAATTCCTGAATCTATGTTTGCTCAGATCTCAGCTTACCTGCGGTGATCTCAAACAGGACCTTATCGACCTCCTCATCAGCCTCCTCATCAAGCTCCTCATCATCGCCCATCTCCATTGCATCTTCCATCATTTCCTCCATGATGCCAGCCTACAACAGGACCACTGGCATCAGTGAGATGGAAGTCTAGTTTGTGATATTGTCCTCTGTTGAAAGTGATCTGATGCAGTCCATGGTTATGTGTATAGTGGATTTATTTGGATTCTAGGGACACTTATTTGATAAAATATTGTCTCAGCTATGACTCGTAAGAAAATACTTTGGGAGTAGTTTACAAAATTGCTTCTTTCTTACACTTCATGTAAAACCATGTATTCTAGTTCTGGGTTTGTCTTCTCCCACAGCATGAAATATGATTGCTCAGTCAAACATGCAGGAATTACACTTCATGTAAAACCTTTAGTTTCTATTCTAGGTCTGGGCTGGTCTTCTCCCCAGCATGTGGTATGATTGTAGCATCATTACCTTCATCATTTCCTTGGACAGGTCTCTCATGGTTGCCTGGATCTCTGGCACCTTCACCAGCGCCTGCATGGAGTTCATCACCTGGGTGCTCTTCTCCAGTGCTCCTGCCAGTCGCAGTGAGGCTGGAGACAAAAGCATCTACCATCAACCAAGTTGTCAACATATTGTCAACCATCTAGGTACATCAACAATTATGTTCTTATCCAGCATGGGCAGGGTACCTGAAAGTCACAGAGAGGTTTGTAACACAAGCTAATACCAACATTACCATTAAACATCCTCTCAACCATATGCATCAATTAAAAGGCGACTAACGGGATTGGGTGCACACTCTCGCTGACTTGGTTGACACACGTTATCATATCCCAGTTGTGTAGATCGATGTTCGTGCTGTTGATCACTGGATTATCTGGTCCAGACTCGATTATTTACAGACCGCACAATATGTTTGGAATATTACAGAATGTGGCATTAAACACCAAAATTAAAACACCAAAATTTGTGGTCTTATTCAGGGCCTCTGAAAATGAAAGGCAAATATCAGTTTTACCATCGACCATATTGTCAACTATTAAAATCTGTTACATGTACACCATGCTCAATAGCTTTCAGATTAGAGAAACATAAAATTCGAACATTACCGAGACTTGCACAAGTCTCTAAGGCAATAATTATCAGTTTAAATCATAATGACTACATTATGTAAATACTAAGATCAAGTTGTCTTTTAAAAAGACTGGTGTTCATAATGAAGGCTTACCTAGACTTGCCTATTTTAAGGATAGAATCACTACATACATGAACAAAGCGGTTGAAAATATAACTTATGACACAAATGTTCAAACTAAATCTTGAAATGAATCTCTTTGATAAACTTCGAAAGTTTCACTCGTGTAACTGAAGTAGTTTTTGAGAAAACTAAGACATTGCAGACTTTTTATTTGGACTGAAATCATAAACGCAGGGCTCCAGATAATTTTTCATGATCAGGAGTACGTACTCCTTATTTTTTAAATATAGGAGTACTGGAAAACAATAAGAGTACATTTAGAGTAGTGCATGGAATTTAATGGCGTATCAGTAATCTTGTGTTTCGTTTCATATATGCACCACAACATTGCTACTCTTGTGTAAACAGGTCAGTAAACAATAAAACAATACTTTTTCAGATAAATACGTCTGTAAATGATTCTGAAACCGTACACCATTGCTGTGGTCCGTATCTGCTACGTTTTTAAAATTGTTTCCTACCGTATTGTGCTTATGTTATATCCGTACATATGCCGATACGGACATTATCTGGAGCCCTGTAAACGAGTGGATAGGCATTGTCATTTCACACAGACATGGACTACACTTTTTCATAAAGCATGGTGCGAGGGCCATAACTCTGTAAAACATGAATTCAAAACATAATTTAAATACTGGGATAAATTAAGTAAGGCAATACCTGTAAGCCGGAGTACCCAAAATACTGGTCAGGGCTCGATTTAGTGGTTTGTTACTTGCACTGGTGCAACCCAATATTACAGAGTGCAACCTAGTTATTTGTCTAACTTACACCAAGTGTAAGTCCATTTTTTGAGAAATATATCAACAATAAATCTAACATTACAAGCATAATTATGTCAGCTCATTTTTCTTCTAAACTTTGAATAATTCAATAGCATATTTCTTTCATTACATATTGCAATACAAGCAGTGCAATTGGATTTTGGCTGATGTTATCTTAGGTTGTACCTGGTGCAAGAATGTTAACGTCTCTTAAATCGAGCCCTGCTGGTGTATACTTGTTAATATGTTATATAATGAGCCAGACAAAGGTTTCAATCATATGCCTAAACACTTCTAGCTCTCTGTCCTCACCCAGCTGGTTCTTCATGCTCATCTGGACAGAGTTGATGTGAGCTTTGGACGTATATAGTTTGTTGACAACCTTCCGTGCCTTCATGATCTCCTTGGCCAGGATCCTGCAGGATTCTGTTTCCCCTCGTTTAGCCGATGCCTTCAGCAGCTTCTTCGTCTTCTCCTCTTCCCTCTGTATAGCTGAAACCAGGGAGGTGAGGTAAGGTGAGGTGAAATTGGGTTTAACGTCATGCTTGAGAATATTTCGCTCATATGACGACGTGCATGCGTGTGTATGTGTATGTGCGGCTGCTTGTACTAGCCCAGACTTAAGATGGTTTTATAGTGCTATCCCACTGAGATACCATGCCGCGGTGAAGCATGAATATCCCACTCAGACACATTATACTGACTCCCGAGCCTACCAGTCCTTGTTGTACCCATTAATGCCGGTGCTAGGCAGGGACCAACAAGTACCATATTTTAATGTCTTTTGGTATGACGCGGTCGGGGAACGAACCCGCGACCTTCCGCTCTCCGGGCGGACGCTCTAACCACTACACCACGGAGGCTGAAACCAGGGAGGCAGCAACAGAGTTAATGCACAGTTAGGCCTAAAACAACAATGGTGTGACTCTGACTATGCATGGATTTACATGTCCCTCTATTTTTGCGCCTAAAGAACTCTCACTAAAAATGTTTTTGGGTCCAAGTCATGAGCTGTTCTCTGGCGAGACACAAGTGTCCAATCTAATTACTCAAATACAATGCCTTTCTGCAAGATCTAAGGTTGGTTGGTGAACACAGCTGATCAAATCTGTGTGGGTATTAGTCCAGACCATATGCATTGTTTAGAATCAACAACATGGCTGCTTGTCCAAGAAATGTAAAATTATGACAAGTGAAAGATCTACAGCATCTCTGAATCAGATTGTTTTGTGGACTAAAATGCTTCAGTGGAATAAATGGTCTGTTGCATACTTGCCATGTACATAATGGTTAATGTAGCAATACACAAGAGAATGTCACTAACTATACCTGGGTGCCGTTCCACTAACCGATCTTAGCCCTATGCCAATCATAAACCCCTAAAATCCCAATCTGACGTTACGATCAGCATACCGTTCCACTAACCAATCTTACCCAAGTCAATCGTAAAGTTAAGATTAAAAGTCTAAGTTGCTCATGACCAACTTAGGATAGCTAAAATCAATCGTAGAGAAACCAAAATGGTGGCTTTCCTTTTCTATGTGAAAAATAAGAGCGAGCATTTCACCGTGAGCGTCCCCTAAAATCCCCCATGAAATGAATTTGTACATTTCTGTGATGTAAACAAACACTGCACTGAAGCCTTACAAATGTCAGGCCAGTCTGACCACTGTCGTCATGGGAACACAACGAGCGAGTCGGTGTAACACATTTGTACAACAATATTGCAACGTCATGGTTAAGAATAGGGACAGCTGTGAACTGAACAATGTGCTGAAGCAAAAAGATACAAATATGTTTGATTTCACTGCGCATATTTGATGGGGGATTCTAAAGGCAGTCCGCGTGTTATTCAAGACCACTGACAGATTCTACATACGTTATAGCCTCCTCACGGCTTGTTTATTCTGATTGACAAGGTTCAGGCACATATTAAAAGCTCTGACACAACTGACATTATTAAAGTTCAGACTTAAAAACTGTTCTCAGTATATTACTTATAATCTCGGCTGTAAATACTCTCGTGTAAATTATCTGTACATAGCGCTTTGAGCATGCCCCAGGATGTGGAATAGGCACTATAAATATGCATTTATTATTATTATATTATGCCTGATACCCAGCATTCACACGCACTTGCACCTGAAACCAAGGTGCTCACTACCCTAATATTTTGCTCGAGTTTTTTTCTCCATGTTTACACTTGGTTGGAAAAATACCAATGAAGGACCGGGTTAGAATACTGAACTTCAATAACCCATGCTTGTCGTAAGAGGCCACTAACGGGATCCGGTGGTCAGGCTCGCTGACTTGGTTGACACATGTCATCGGTTCCCAAATGCGCAGATCGATGCTCATGCTGTTGATCACTGTATTGTCTGGTCCAGACTCGATTATTTATAGCTAAGATACACAGCGTTCACTAACATGAACGCTCATGTTAGTGAACGCTATGCATTAGGGCTAAGTAATGCCGGAAAGGGAGAAAACTCTGTAATGTCAAGGGCATGTAACTCTAACCTAGAGCAAAAGTGCTAAGTTGAGAGTTTGGGCTCATTTTGAACTTGATGCAAATGGCAGAACCAAATGGCGACTGTGTGTACGATGCTATTTATTGCAGAAGCAGTACAAGTTTAATCCACAAACATCTTGCTCTAAAACACAACGTTCATTTCATTGTGTAACTCTAGTTGCTTATTAAGTTAGTTCATAAAAAGCTGTTAAGACTACATTGAATGTTGTCTTTGGTTCGTATTTCATTTCAATTTCATGAGACATATTTTACTTCTGCGTCAAAGCTGAATACATTCACCATAAAAGAGAATGTAATTAAATGATTGTAGGTGTTGGGAATATCAGTTAAAACTAATGAATTAACATAATAAAACGAATTTTTATTGAAATGGCACATTCTGATTTGTAAATTCAATGTTCGACTGATTATCATGACAATAAGAAGAAAGATAATCAGAAATATATAGAAGCACAGCTCACTTAGATCACACATAATACCATTCAGTTACTATACCTTTCATAATTTAACATATAATATCAGCATACAGTTATTCCAATGCACACACGTAATGTTTACTGATATACAAATTTAGAATATTTAAATAACTATAGTTTTGTGCTGTTTTGGTTTATCTAAACGTAAAAAATATATCATTTAGATACATTTCTTTGTCGCTACATTCAAACAAAAGTATTTTAATGCGACTTTTAATAATCTTCTATAAGGATAAACTTTTAATTACAGTTAATGAATTATTCACGGCCCTGTATTTGTCTGTACTCTGTAATGTATAATAGACAAACTGTAATGCAATTGAGTTGCGCAACAGAGCAAAATGACCAGTCTTCCCTCATGCGCGCGAAGCATTTTGCTGTGTTGCTTAACTCATTTGCATTACAGTCTGTCGGTCTGTATATCTCGTATAGAATTCTCCTGTCAGTAAATACATCAATCAAATTTTATTCTATGTAAGTTTACATAAAGTCCCCATGTAAACCATTATAGGTTCAGTTAAATATCACATCTGAATGTAGTTCAACAACAGAATAAATTGCCTTTTTTCATTGACGCAACACACATCTAATTACGTCTTTGGTATTGTCCGGTTAATCGAGGTTATTATTAACGACTGTAATTTATCAGTACATGAGCAGTGAGTTGTCATGTCACAGTGGAATGTAAGTTAGTAATGGTGTTGCTCTTTATATCAGTTAAACAGACGTAATTAAATAAAATAGTTTAAGATCAGTTTCAATGTCTTATTGCCATCCTTTCATGTTTTCTATGATAATCTGTCAAATCGTGACTGAATATTCAGAGAGTAAATAGAGCGTTGTATTCATTACATTTCCGGGTACTCGATTCCGATTCGGGTAAGAACATGCGGGTACTCGATTCCATTTTTTCTTACCCGTCCCAGCCCTACTATGCATCTTAGCTAGATTATTTACAGACCACCGCCATATAGCTGGACTATTGCTGAGTGCGACGTAAATCTAAACTCACTCACTCACTCAGTTGGTTCGTAAACTACTTCCATCATTTGCTAGACTATGCAAAGGGAGATAACTCGTGCCTCGCATTCCTCTATCTCTCGCACGAAAGAGTCTCGATCTAAGCTTAGATCGGATCGTAAGATCGGGACCGGCTAAGATCGGCCTAAGATCGGTTAGTGGACAGGTGTAACTTTTAGCTAAGACGATTGTAAAATTGGCATAACTTGCTAAGATTGATCTTAGATAAGACCGGTTAGTGGAACGGCACCCAAGACTTTATGAGTCTCAGACAAACAGATGTATGTTAATTTCAAATCCTGTGAATGAGTGAAAAATATTGTTAAAGAAGTTCCATGTGTAAAAATCAATCCAGGCATGTACACCATCATTCAGGCCCTACACGTCCCTGCTATCATCACATGTAACAAATGTACCGGTATCCATCTGATATGCAAAATTACAAAGATTTCAAGAACTGCAAGTGACAAAATAAGATTTATCTTATGGCTTCCACCGGATGATTTTGAGGGTAACCATGGTAACTTAATAATGTGTAAACAGAGTGAATTGTGATGTTCAGACATTTGATGCCATATCAAACACTGTGATGTTTGGGGTTTCAGAAGACGACTAGATAATCACAAATATCAAGATTTGACAACCACGGTATTACCGGTATACCGCAATACGTTTTTCAAACATTCCTGCTTGACAACGGTACAAGAATCTGTATCGAAACGTCACACTCTTGTAATAAAGAAGTTGTTACTCATAAAGTTTGTCAAAAAATTTTTTCGAACAATATGTATTATAATATGTTTACTGAGATCCGGTATATCGGGTAAAGAACATATATGAAGTTTTTGTGATTATGTAACTTATAAGACTTGTAATGTAGGAAACAGAATTGACATGCACAATTATTGTCACCTACTGTCAAACATGTAAGTTCCCAATAGATCAATATATTACAATACGGGTAACTGAGTCGCAATATATTGCAACACAATTTATTTGCCAATATACAGCCCTATAACTGACATACCTTTTATCTGTCTCTCAAGGTTGTAACCTTCCTTTCGCATTTTGTGTGTCCACTCATTGACCTGGGAATACAAAACACTAGGGTTAAGGCCAAGGGTAGGTAACTGATGTATTACAAGTGTTGAACATTCATGTTGATTGATAAGGCCTCAGTACTTTGATTAAGACTGCCTTTCTCTCAGCTCTGGACCATGCACTGATAAGGCCTCAGAACATTGATGAAGAAAGCAATTTCTTTAAGTTGGGGCCATAAAAGAAGAAGACAAGAATTTTCACATTAAGTGAAAACATAAATCCAGTGTTGGAGAAAGGTTTTGCATTAAACACGTTAAATAAAGCCTTCTGAACTGACGTACAATTTCTTCAGCAAAATAATGTGTTATCTTATCATTACACCTTTCCAACGCATGTGGGGTGGTGGGGTAGCCTAGTGGTTAAAGCGTTGGCTAGTCATGCCGGAGACCCGGGTTCGATTCCCCACATGGGCACAATGTGTGAAGCCCATTTCTGGTGTCCCCCGCCGTGATATTGCTGGAATATTGCTAAAAGCGGCGTAAAACTAAGCTCAGTCAGTCAGTCCAACATAATAACCAGTCAAGCAAACAGTTATTGCATCAGGGGAATGAACAAAAATACTAATAAAATATCAATGACAGCAACAAGGGTAGCTGACAAGTAATTAGTGCTAAAGAGAGAAAATAAATGGTTAACTTTGCATCCTTGCAATTGAAGCTACCTGAATCAACACTTTAATTTTTAAATTCAATGCAGTCTCAGGAGAATTATACTAATAAAAGACACTTATTTGGATTAAAATACCCAATAGACTGAATCCATGGGAGTAAAAACATTTTGATTATCCTAAGAAAAATATTGAATTCCAAACATGAATTTAACTTTAGTCCTGGGTGGTGGAAGGTAATCACAAGGTATTCAAAAAAGGTTGACAGACCAATTCTTAGTACTGTTCAAGTTAATTTCACTTCTTTACCAGAGAGTGTGATCATTGTTATGTTAATCCAGAGACCATAAATATTTTGTTCTGTTTATCATTTATCAAAACAACAGCCTTGAATGTTAGTTGGGGTGTACTGGAATGTACCATGTTCACAAAGATTACCTTTTTGATTTCTGTTAGCACTGCTGAGAGGATCAAACTCTCATTGCCAGCTTAATCTAAGGTAACTATTCAACCTAAACAGCACATTACCACAAGTGTTATGTGAAGCAATTTGGCTTGTTTACCTAGAAATCAGTCACTATGCGTTTACAGAGTTTTGACAGCTTTCCTGGTTATTCTCAAAGCTTGATCAATTGTATGGATGTACCCGAAATAACTTTGGTCTAAACTTTACAAAAAGGTGAGATTTCTTACAATAAGGACCATAAAGGGTTGTTAGATAGGATTGTGGTACTGACATTAACGTGTATCTAAAGACGTGCTTGATTGGAAACGATATCCAAGGCTAAGGATCGAGTTGAGGGTACCCTACCCTTACTCTGAGGATGTACAATCTTGGTACTTGGAACACTTAAATTACAGTTGTGACTGTCACTGTACATAAAGCAGACAATCTCACCACATACCTGACTAAGTCACGAGATTTCGGAGTGAAGCCAGATCTATTTTTATGAACATTTTACTCTGATATTTTCTGAAATTTACTCCAACGTATAGACCAACAAGCAGAAATGCAACGAGACACACTTTGGGTTAAAAGCGTAAACACCGTGCGTTACCTGTACAAAAATCAATCTCAGACACCTGTCGCAAACTGAAGGATGAATCACGTCGTATTCCTTTTGAAATATTACACTGACAGATCACATTTTCATCAGGTAAATATCTCCTGTTATCCTAATAACAACCTATTGGTTGTGAAATCGTGTACTTACCAACTCTTTGGGTGGCTTTTCGTGGCCTTTTCCAAACAAACCCATTGCTAATTATCAAGGAATAATCAACACCTTTACAATAATGTCATGGTATACTATTGAAGAAATTGCAAAATCGAGAACTATCATCCAAAACTTCCGCATTGACATGCGTAATCACGACTTCCTGAATAAACAAAAAGGGAAGTAACTCTTGGCGACCTAAGCAAGATGTCAAGAGGGGCCAAAGATTTTGTAGTTTATATCGAGGTGCGCGCGTGCGCGTGCGTGCGTGCGCGCATGACCTCGTGTGTACTCGGACCCGTGAAGATCCGGGTTGGAATTTGTGGTCAGCCCATGCTTGTCGAAGGAGTCGAGTGGTCAGGCTCGCTGACTCAGTGAGCTTGTTGACACAGTCATGTTATTGTATCCCAACATGGCGTAAATCGATTATATTGATGTTGATCGCCGAACTCGATTATTTACCGATCGCTGCCATATACAGTAGTTGGCAATAAGTGAGTCATCATTAGTGAAATTTTCATAGACTTACATCAAGTTACATGTTATTTAACTGTTGCAAGAATAATTTTCATAAATTAAGTAGAAGTCATTTTATTTTGCAAAATCTTGGAAATCATCTTCAGCTACGTGTACTTTCATCTTTCCGTTGATTTGTTATCGAATGACAACTGATTAAGCACCATAAGTACAACTTAATTTTGATCTATCCCATAGACAGCCATGTTAAAACTGATTGGTATGTCTAATATATGTTGTTTAAATAGTTGCAGTTTTCTTAATAATCATCGGACAATTGAATGGAAATTATGTGCATGTAGCTGAGATGATTTCCCAGCTGGTAGATAGGTATTGAAAGCAATTCGACCGAAATTTATGAAATAATTCGTGCAAGAGTTAATTAACATGCAAGTCTGTTGGAATTTCACTAATGATGACTCACTTATGGCCAACTACTGTAGCGAGAATGTTGCTGAGTGCTGCGTTAAACAAAAGCAAACAAACGTGTGTGCCCGTGCGTGTGTGCCCGTGCGTGTGTGTGTACAAGTTGGCAGTATGCAGGGCTCCAGATAAGGGCCGTATCGACGTTTGTACGGATAAAAAATATGCACGATACGGTAGGAAATAATTTTGAAAACGTACCAGATATGCACCACAGCAATGGTGCACGAATCATTTACAGACGTATTTATATGAAAAAGTATTGTTTTATTGTTTATTGACCTGTTTACACAAGAGTAGCAATGTTGTGGTGCATATACCAAACGAAACACAAGAATACTGATTACTAATTTCCAATTAGTCCTCTAAATGTACTCTTAAGTTTTTCCATTACTCCTATATTGAAAAAATAAGGAGTACGTACTTCTGATGTTGAAAAATTATCTGGAGCCCTGCATTATGGTATGGATAACCCACTCAGAAAGTCAGACACTTTATACGCTCTTTACGCAAATGCTTGTTCTATCATCATAGGATAACAACAAGTTTCATCTTTTAATGTCTTTCAAAATGACGCGGGAATTTGTTCGAACCACAGGTGTCTGGACTGAGGCTCTATCTTCTAGAACACAAATACTGGCAACATATATTCAACTGGAAATTCATTGACGAAAGTCTTGAGTTTCTGAATAGTGATAAAACACAAATGAAAATTATGGTACCCTCTGACATTTCTGAGATAAATGATAAAATCATTGCGCATCACTTCACAATTCTGTCCATGTGTATCGTGATCTGCAATTTTGTACGTGAAAAAATTAACGGAACGTCTCATACAGTCATTATTGTACACAGTAAATATATGGGTGAAATGATACAACCATAAAGAAAGTCTGTAGACGTACAAACAAGAGATTAACGGATGTGCTTAACGATAACGAACTGTGGTCTGTTGACGCACATGGCAGTATTTGAGCTGGTTTTCTTATGCATAAACAAGTGAGGCTGTATATACCGGTAGTATTGAAAGCTGTTGATAAATCATCGAATAACATTCTTGCATACTATTTACGTGGTCGGTGGTGCGTCCTAGACACTTCTGTTGGGTTTATATGCAAATTGCAAGGAGTCAAGAATATCTCAACAACAATGCTTTCAAAGCATTTCCAACCTGTTGAAGTTAAAGACGAATCACGATATTGATTGTGTAGAGTTTAATTGATCTTTTATCTTTAACATGTTTAATGTAACAACATATCAAGAATACAGTAAGTATAATAGACATCTAATGAAGGTTGAAAAAGCTTTTGATTTATGCCGCATAACTGTTCATTGCATTGTTTTAATTCTACACATATAAATTAATGAAAGGGACCGCGGTTATGGTTAGCAAGTCACTTTCATTTGAACAAGGCGCCAACTCAAGTTTATACTGGCAACATTGGCTGGGGCCATACGTTTTCCGCGTAGAGCAGGAGGAAAGACAGTCAAATTGTTAACGTCACGTGATGTTATGACAGTCACGCGAGATTTATGACGTCACCTTGACGACAGTTTCACTACTGACGCCGCCATTGTCACGGCACTTCGCGAGAGATTACGTTGTTTAGTACTTCCGGTGACAAACAAAGTTTTTCGGCAATGGCGATAACACTGTTACATGGGGTATGCCGTGGATAATCATACTCGACACTGGCTGTGTGAATCAGAAACCTATGCCATGTAACAGACTATGGACTGCTAAAGCACTAAGGCAATGTTGCGTGAACAGCACGTGAATATTTGCCAAACAGATGCAGAGTTGTCACAGCGACGTCTTCAGGCTGGCCCATTCATTAGTCGAGGTAAGTTTGTTACATGGATTTCTTTGTTTTCATTTAAAGGCTGGTATTGTTTAAGCATGGCACGCACAGTAAGGGTGGAGTTGACATGTGTGCAGATTGGTGAATCGTTTGATTGCATTTGATATCATACAGTGGGATTTTATTGTCCCCCGGAGAGGGGACCTAATAAAATATGGCAGGCAGGTATCCGTAATAATGCATGTGTACAAAAACCTGTGTTAATAAATAAAAGTATCTTGCAGTTGGAATTATCCAGAAGATAACTTAATGTGCAATGAAAATCCAGGTGTAATTCTAAAAAAATAAATGTAATGATTTTAATAATAATTTAATAGCACGTAAACAATGATGAATATATCCACACTTTGATTGATACCAATAGCTCTGAATAGGTATCTCTCACAAATGTGTTCTGTAATATGAGCTTGATTAATATATTATTACAACCCCATTTAGCATTTGGTTATGGTGCAGCATGTTCAGTTAAACATAACATCCACATGCTTAATTTATCAATAATATCTTGATGTCAACATTGTAAGGAACTGTTTACATTTTATTAAGTATATCATACTTGGTCTCACGTGTTATGTATTTTTTCAGTTGGAACAGATGCACATCTTTAAGAGGAGAAAGAAGGAGGAACAGATTTCTTTATCACCACAATTACCACTGACATCAAGAGCAACACAAACTGAAACAGATCTTCAGATTTCTTTTAACATCTGGTGGTCAAGCAATATACATTGCAAAATGAAGAAACAACAAGTCATTGAAGTGTTGTATGTACAGTTATAAAACATATTAAAAGCCCTACACATCATCCTTTGACACTTGCTGGAACAGGAAATGCTTGTAACCAGCAAGGTGTTGTGGAAAGTCTTGTGACATCTTGGGACTCTCAGATAATTCAGTGAGAATTTAGATGAGTGACCATGAAAGAACATTTGTATTCCAGATGATACTGTTACAGTATTTTTCAGGTTTAGCATCTGGGAAATGCAAAGAATGTTTGATATGTTATGAGTAATTATGTCTTTGGAATAAAATTGCAGAATAGTTCTGAAACTTGTTTATTGTTTTTAAGTGTTGATAAAGCAAGCACAAATTGAATGGTTTGGAAGATTTCTGCTTTTAGCCATGATATTGATTTGACAGTAAATACACAATGATGGATGTAGGAGATTAGATTTTCAGTGTATGTAGCAAAGGTTACCAAGTGAGAGAGTTGGGTTTTACACTGCTTTTAGCAATATTCCAGCAACATAATGCTGGGGAGAGCAGCAATGGGCTTCACACTTTGCACACATGTGGGGAATCAAACCCGGCCTTCAGTGTGACAAGTGTCAACAGTTTAACCACTAGGTTACCCTACTACTCCAGTTTCCATGAAAAACATGCTTACCAATGAAAAGTTAAACTTAATCAATGCCATATGCATGTGATGCAATTTTGTTGAAATATGAAATTCTTAGTTTTTATTTGCTGTAAGGTTACAACACTGGTTCATAGCACAATAACCAGTACACATTATTCTTTTCCATTATTTTAAAACATATTGGTCTAACTGTATAGTGGAAAATATGGAATGCCAGTTACCAACCTTGGCCTCATTGGCAGAATATTTGGAATATATAAGTTACTAAAATGGAGTGAAAAACACTATATTACATGACAAGTAATCATACTCATGCTGCTATCAGCCAGTGTCTGCAGAATCTACAGTCATGACATAGTATATATGCACATTTAGTTTCCCATGTATTGATCAGTATATTTTACAATACAGGAAATGTCTTGAGTGATTACTCCATATTTTGAGTGTATTTGGTCTTGCATTTTTGCCAATTGTGACTTGAAGGTGCTGTGTGCTGCTTCATATTTTGCTTACAGCATAGCAGAACCTCACCCCTGCATAACCAAGAACTAAGTAACACTCATGTACTTTTAGATCATAGTACATAGTTCACTCACTCCAAGACATCTAGTACAAAGTGTAATAAATATTGTGCAACAACCAGTTTATATATATCACCTCTAAAATAATGTTTACATAATTTGATAAATAATTGTTTCATGATGAATATTCATATGGCTGAGGGTTTTCACATTTTTGTTTTGAATATCTGACAGTAGTAACCGAAATAATTGTAACCATGCCATCAAGGTTATTTTTTCGAGCTGTTGATTGATTTGTGACACTATGATTTCTTGTGTGAATAAAACGCCGCTATAAATGGGAAAGTTCATATATTTATAAAAAAAAATTATAATGTTACAAGAACTGCTATTTATTCCAGGCATTGGGAAAGACAGGGGTCATTTTGCACATTAGAATAAAAATGCCCCTTAAAATTTTGA